ATCATCTTATGCAATAAAAATTTGAATTTTTCCTCTCACGAGAGTACCCTTAACATTTCTCTTGAAATATTATCTTTCTCAAGGTCATTTTCTCTTCTCATGAGGACATTTAGGATAATTGCATTCAAATATATTTTTTACAGATCTTTCAGGAAAGAATGAGATTAAAAGTCAAAAAGACTTCCTCAGCAAGAAAGAGCAGTCATCTTCATATTAAACATTTTCAAAGTAAAGATTTATCTCACTTGATATTTTTTTTCTTAAAACAATTTGTTTCTCGCTGGAGAAAGTTTCACTTGAAATAGAAATTTATCTCACTCGAGATTGTTATTCTTAAAACAAACTACTTCTCGCTTGAGAAAGTTTCACTTGAAATAGCAATTTATCTCACTCGAGATTGTTTTTCTTAAAACAAACTGCTTCTCGCTTGAGAAAGTTTCACTTGAAATAGCAATTTATCTCACTTGAGATTATTTTTCTTAAAACAAACTTTTTCTCGCTTGAGAAAGTTTCACTCAAAATAGCAATTTATCTCACTTGAGATTGTTTTTCTTAAAACATTTCCAGATAGAGTTCGTAATAAGAAGAACTCCTTTGAAGAGGAAGCAGAAGTTAATAGTCTGAAGAACTTATTCAACCTTTTTGCTTGACTCTATCGCAGAAGGAGATAGAGCAATAGAGCCATTTCCAAACAGGATTTTATAATTTAAAGAACTCTTCTGAAGAGGAAGAAGAAGTTCATAGTCTGAACCAACCTAACCATATGCTCTGTGTTGAACTTCATTGGACTTAAGTTCTCATGTGATTGAAAACTATTATTTTTAATTTTTTAAAGTTTGAACTACAAATTTTATCACTCATCTTTAGTATTATTTTTATTTTAGTTATTAAATTTTTTAAAAAAATAATTTTATCATATAATTTTATCATTGTTCATGTTTTGATAAATGCTTTTTGCTAATTAGCTTAAGCAATTCTGTAATTTAATTAAAGGATAATATGTATTTATTTTAATATTAAAAAAGGATTGTCTTAATGTAACTAGCTGTCCTATTCTGATATTCTAAAATAAATAAATACTCTACTTATAAAAAACCTAAAAAATAGAATATGCTTGGAATATGCTTAATTTAATTATATTTATTTTGATTATATCAAATTATTTTAATGGTGGGTTCTCAGGAGAAATTATCATATTTTTATTATTTCAGTTGGAAAGAGAAATATTTGTCCTAAAATATTTTAGGGATTATTTTCTCTTCGATTGGAAATATTGAAATATTTTCTATTTTTCCTTAGAATTTCCTCTTAAATAAAATTATGCGATTGAATCTGAAATAATAGAATCATAAATTAAATTTATATTTGAATTCTTAAATTTATATTATCAGAGACAATTTATAATCAACGGGTACCAATTTTGAGCGTTGTGGGGGTGCTAATCCTTCCCCAAACGTAACCGACCACGAATCCCTTTTATTTACAAAAAAGAATGAATTTTTGGTTATATGCAGACTGGTTTATCTTTTAAATCGTTTTTTCTTAAAAATCTTTTAAAAGATGATTTTTAGGTATTCGACCTACCTAACCCAAAAGGTTCGATGGCGACTCCAAAACATTTCATAAAAACCATTTATTTATTCACTTGCTTTTCCACCAAGAAACATTCGTGCCCGGGCGAAAACCGGTTACGACACCCATGTACATACTAACTAAAATTAATTATATTATGCTACATTGTAGGAAAATACATCTGGTTCTAAAGTTGGATGAATCAAACTCTTCGACATGACACATACAAAAAATGATGGCACTCCTATGACTGCTGAAGCTGTAGAAATTATAGTACATTTATTGGACAGAGGATTTGAATTAAGTTTTATTTATATCTATAGTCTGACATTCTTATTTGAAATAATTATTTACTTTATTATTAGGAAAAATTGAGGAATAAGATGGTGGAGTATGAAGCTACAGCTTCAAGACATGGTCTTGTTAATGCGGATGACATCGAAAATCAAGTTATCAATGACGTTTTGGGTCTTGAAAGATATAGTCGGGTTCAATGTCAAGGATCATTTGTTACTCCCACCAAATATTTTGAATCCAGTTCATCTCAGTACATGTTGTCACAGTCTCAGTCTTCCCAATTAGAAGTTAGTCGTTTAAAACAACAGTTGGCTGAAATGGATCAAAAGATGGCTAAAATGAAAGCCGAAAATGAAGCGAGAGAAGTAGAGAGATAAGAAGCATATCAGCATAAATGTCAAGAGTTTGAGAAAAAAAACTAGAAGCTATGATGCAGATGATACGAAAAACTCAACCTGAGAGTCCACCATCTTAGGTCTTATTTCTGTTATATGTTTCGTTCATGTTACTAAACAATATTGCAATGCATTACCTATTACGTTAATGTAAAATTTTATTTTCTATAATGGATTTGAAGTTGGTTGTTATGGAATTATATTTTGTTGTTATAGATGTCATGTTTGTTGGATAATGGAACAGGTTGAAAATGTAATTTTGGGTAACAAAATAATGAAATCAATGGTTGTAGATTATGTGTTAATTAGCGGCGTTTGTACAAAAAATGCCGCTAAATACGTAATCAATTCCGGTGTTTTACATAAAAACGCCACAAAAGTTTTAGATAATTTGCGATGTTTATTACAAAAAATCCGCTGTAGATCTAACCTTTTGCGGCATTTATTCCAAAAACGTCGATATATATAACGACCTTTTGTGGCGTTTGTTCCAAAATGCCGCTATAGATATTGACTTTTTGGCGGCGTTTTTTAGTTCTTGACCTATTGCGGCGTTTTTTGTTATCAAACACCGCGAACTATAGCAGCGCTGGTTTTGTCGGCGCTTTTTGCGGCGTTTTTTCTATCGCCGTAAGTGTTTTTAGCGGCGCTTAAAACGCCGCTATATGACTAAAAAACGCCGCTTAACCTCTATTTTTCTTTAGTGTGAGTTATACGAGTATACCCACTGTTGCATGAGATCTGATAACTTAAACCTATTTTTATGCACTTTTAGTATGATTTAGTTGTTAGTGTGGCATTGAGCCAGTTAGCTCAGTGTTTGAAATTTGTTTCATTACATAGATTCATAGGTGGAGCAGTTGAAGAGCATTTGTGCAGAGTAGACCCATACCCAGATTTCAAAGCTGAGTACGTCTCGGTTTCTTCTTAGAGGGCATGTATATTTGAAAGCCCCTTTTTGTATGTTCAAGTTGTAACTTATTTAAAATGACGATCTTTATATTTTGATTTACTAGTTTGGGAGCTCCGATTATAAACCAATTTATTTAAATGTTGTCGTTTTATTTCACGATGGATGTTCTTAAATGATTGTTTAAATTGAGCAAGTAAAGAAAAAGAATTTTGGTAACTCACTCTGGTGGTTCTGTGTGGTACTCTAGTCAGTCGACTGTGTGTCGTGCTAGATAGGGTGTTACAGGTTTAGTTTTAGGGTTGCAACTTGGAATTTATATTAGTTTTGTTTTAATTTGGATGACAAATGATTCAGTTTTGGTAGATATGGTTTATGTTGAGCAATACTCTGACAGAAAATTTCAAAAGCAAATAGTAAAATTAAAAACAGTGTATGATGAAATTGGGAAATCTAGCTCAAATCTGATCATATATGCACACGTTTATTTCTTTCTTTTTCTTGGGGAAGCAAAAAGCAACCATGGTCCATCGGAGTTAGAACTAGGTAAAACAAATTCTATTAGCAGTTTGGGTAAATTTATTTTGGATTTGATACTTCTATGTTTCTTTCTGAGTTTTCGTTTTCCAATTTCCTTTTATGTTGTAGTCATTTAGGAGTTATTCACATTTGACTCATCCCCTGATTTTGTTAAGAGTTTTTTGTTGGTTAAAAAGAATCTAATGGGTCTCCATCTTTCGTCCTGCATAATGTTTACTTTTATCTTTCTACATTTGTTTTCAATTGATATGTTTACTTTTATAGTTCATCCTTATAATTAATATTCAAAGATATTTGTCTTTACATGTGATAGATAATAATTTTAATATTCGAAGTTAATCTCAGCCTTTGATTTCTCTCAATCTAACAATCTTAAAAATGTGTAAAACTAAAAGAGTTTTAGACAGTGTAAATAAATCCTAATAATTATATAGGATATTACTTTTATTGTTCTCAATCCAACAATCCTAAAAATATATAAAACTAATAGAGTTTTAGATTGTAAAAACAAATCCTAATAATTATATAGGATATTACTTCTATTTTAAGTCCTTTTAATTAATATTCAAAGATATTTTTCTTTACATGTGACACATAATAATTTTAATATTCGAAGTTAATTTCAGTCTTTGATTTCTCTCAATCCAACAATCTTAAAAATATGTAAAACTTATATATATAGAGAGAGAGAGAGAGAAGAGAGAGAGAGAGATTTTATTCAACCACTCATCTATAGTACTTAATTTTTGTTTTGATCACTCAATTATTAATTTTTTAAAATAATATCTAATGTTTCATTTTAGTTTTGTTTTAGTTATCGACTGTTAAAAAATTAATAATGATACTGACATAATATTTTTTTATTATTTTTCAATACTAACATGGAATTATCTTATGGTGATACATTAGTATTATAATTAATTTTCTAATAACGGATGACCAAAATAAAATCAAAATGTAACATTATATATTATTTAAAAAATAATTAAATGATCAAAATAAAAAATTAAATAATAACTATGTAATCAAATAAATAATTTATCCATATTTTTATTTAAATTATACTCTACTTCTTTTAGTATGGGGTGGGCGATGACCTAAATAGACCACGACCTTCATACACCCCTAATTAAAATTATTTTAAACCAATATCATTTTATAATCAACCCAAATTATTTATAAAAAAAAAATTAAAAATGCCACACAAGCTGCAGTAGAGATTAATTAGTGGCTAACCATAACCGGTACTTTAAATACAGAAAAATTGCATTATATTTCACATATATAATAATAGCTGCAAAACATAACAACATGGTCCGTTTCTGCAAACCTTTAATAACAGAACTCGTTTGAGAATTAACAAACACAATTTAGTACTATAGACTTCACCACCTAGGAGCTTTTATTCCTCAATCCCTTAAAGGAAATAGGGAGAAAGGAAACTGCCCCTTTTAATACTTCTTTTAGTTTTTTACGGAAATGATCATCCAACTCAGTTAGTAGAACACAAGGTTTTTAGTCTTGAGGTCGTGGGATCGAGTCTCATAGAGGTCATTTCATAATTTAGAGGTCTTTTATGGAAGTTGCTCTCAATTTAATGTTGGGGACAACCTACTATCTTATCTCCCCTTACCTCATTACATATGAGAACAAAGAAGATCCATCCATTTTAGTATTTCTACGTCTACTAATGGTCCTCCTTCCCCTAAAACAGAGCCCTCCATGTTCACTTTCAAGCCGCAGACGGGGCCGTCACGTATGGGACAGCACCAGCTTCCGACAGAGCCACCAGCAACGGCTGCATCTTCACCGGCTCCACCGCCTCTCCGTCACCAACTGTCGGATTCCAGTAATCAAGAGACTCGTCGATATAATTATCCCACCATTTCTGAACCAGCATCTTCACGTCTTCCCTCTGCATGTTCTCTTCTTTCCCGGTGTACCTCCACGGCTTCGATCCGGCGGCACAGTAGTGAACGACCTTCACTTTGTCGAGCTCCACGTTCTCGGGATGACGCCATAACATGGCTAGAACCAGGTTGTATACCAAAGGAATGGGCTTGTAAATGTCTTTAAAGAACATGTTCAGAAAGTCCTGCTCGGCGAATGGGGTCGGAGGGACGACTTTAAGGGTGGCCAAGAGATTCTCGTAGGTCTCGAGGCCGGGCTCGAAAACGCACATGCCAGCGTTGAAGTAAAGAGACGGTGGCTGTCCCATCTCCGCCGGCCACTTCACCTTATCGGGGCACTGTTGGCAGTAACCGATCTTGGCTTGCGGGGTGTGGCTCCATGTTTGCTCGCAGAAACAGTCCATTACGGCGTAGAAATTCCCATCGGGCAAATCAAAGAGATGGTCTATGTTGTCGTACACCTGAATATCTCCGTCCAGGTATATCAGCTTACTGTATTCCACGAACTGCACCCACGAAATTAACACCGGACATTAATAGAATGAATAAACTACATTATACGAGTACGATAAAGTTAAGTATTAGATTTTTATCTATTTTTTTATTTAATTTAAAATATTAAATATAAGACATTATTAGTTAATAGATAAGTTTACACCATTTAATATTAAACATTTACATCTTAATATTTTTTATGTTAATTCGAGATGTAATAAATAATAACAATTCTTTTATCCAAGTCATGTTTCAATTTAAATTTGAGGGATGTATTGGTATTTGAAATGATATAGTCGTGCAAAATAGATAACTACAACAAAGAACGTATATATACGTACCTTCCAAATACGGAGCTTGGAGTAGTTGATGACGTAGTAAGCCATGGCAAACCGGGTCTGGTTCTCGGGCGGGTAAATGGGTTCGATCTCTCGAACGATGCAGCCCTGGTTCTGGAGGATCCGCCGGTGCTCGTCGGGGACGTCGGGCAAAACGGCAACCACTAGAGGGTATGCGGATTTCACCTTCCTTAACCCTTTAACCAACCCTACAACGCCTTTCACGTAATCTCCATTGCCAGCCAAGAAGGTAACATAAGCTCGATTGGGCAGGGTGACCGGTTTAGCCAACACGGTCGGTTTAGTTCCGGTTTGAACCACTTCTGGTGCCATTAGAGTGATGATTTGGACCGGAGAGAAGAGACCAGTAAGTATAAGAGGACTGCAGAGAGCTCTGTACAGGTAAAACCTTTGGTGACGAGTGATTTCTTTGAAAACTTGGAGACGACTTGAGGATGTTTATATAGGAGCTTAAATTAGGCGGTTTATTCGAAAATGCTTAATGCAAAATGTTATATTTCACACGTTGAGTTCTGGTGAAAATTGGATGTGTGCCTTACACGTGTCCATCAAAGTGATCCGACGGTGGAGGTGTGGATTACGAGAAAGTTCGTGATTGGTACCTAGTTTACTGGAAGATGCTAGCTAGCTACAACAGTTGTTTACTTTTCTGTTTTTTTTTAAAAGATTGTTTTTTAGAATTCAATTCATTGCATTAGTGGCCGACACACGTTAAAGTTTGGTTGAACATGTCCTCACTTTAAAAAAATTTAGAATTCAAATTTTTCTTTAAAATTTGATTTATATATATATATATACCTTGAAATTTATTATGTCTATCTTAAAATTTGATTGTATCAAAAAATTTATATTATTAATAAATGTGTGTTTATCCTCAAAAAAAATTTAGATCCCTTACATTACATTATATGTCATATAATTCAAAGATCGACCTTTATATTAGATTATAACAATAAAAGTACTTTATTAAATATATGTTAATAATTTAATTAGAAAATTTTAAATTTTTATGACAAATTTGTATAGCTTGGGATGTTCAGTGCAAGTATATCAATTTTATAAAAAGATTTGCTTCCTAAATTTTTTCGTGAACTAATTTGACTTGGTTCTTTAACTTGTGATTATGTCACATTCATATATTGTATTATCATTTTATGATTATATATTTTCCCTCTTTACAATATTAAGATGTAGAAAAGAATTGTTCGATAACATAAAAATATCAGTTTATATATCATGTCATTACATATTTGTAGAAATATTTCTCAAATTATTTGACTGAATTATTGAGAAATATTAACTTTAAAACTAAAAATACACTTTTAAGCATGAACGAAACGATCTTAGTAGTTAAAGAGATGTTCTTAGAGATTATGGGTTTGAGCACCAGCAACTGTAGTCTATTTAAGCATTCATTGTCAAATAATTGAGGGTCTTTAGAACAAATATTATCACTTATAATCGCCCTAGATTAATGAAAAAAATACACCTTTGAAAGAGTAAGGCCAATGAAGGATCAAATAATAAATGGACTAAATATGCACGAATCAGGCTATCTCAATGGTTAAAGGATGATTGTTATCCCTAGAGATCTCAAGTTCGAGCACCAATGTAACATAAGTGTTTGAACGTTCATTATCAAATAATCTAAAATAGTTAAAAACAAATACTATCTTATTATCATCCCATTTTAATAAAAAAAAAACAACCTATAATATAATATACAACAACAACAACAACAAAACCCTATTCCCATATACAATGGAGTAAGGGGGAGGTAGGGTAGTAGGTTGCCCCAATGCCAGGTTGAAAGCAGCTTTTGTGGAAGACCTCCGACAGTCAGAAAATTAAAAATAAAGATAGAATGCAATGCATGTATAGTTAAATAAATAAATAAATAGTTGAACAATGTTAATAATGCAGTCTTCAATATGCGCGTCTGTAAATGGGAAGTAATCCCTGCAAATAAATCCCTGCATAAAAATCTCTGCAATAGACAGAAACGTAAGACCCGGCAAAATTTAAAAAGAGGAAACATGAAGAGAAGGATACACAGAAGTCAACGATAGCAAGCTACGAGAAGGAATAAATAAAATGGGTTAAAACCTAAATAAAGGCAACACTACTCTGCTACCCTAGTTTTAAGCCTCCATAATTTCCATTGACATAAACATATAAAAAGTAGAAGTCATGTAAATTACTACAAAGACAATAAAAGAAGACATAGATGATACACCCTACGGATGTGACCCGCACTACTCGACTACCCTGGTTTTAAGTCTCCATAATTTCCTATCAGAGGTCATGTCCTCGATAAGGGATAAATCCTTCAAATCAGATCTCAAGCAGTCTTCCCACTTCCGCCTTGGTCGTCCTCTCCTTCTGGCATCATCGACTGTAATTGACACTACCCTCCTGACCACATCCGACGGTTGTCGCATAAGGACATGTCCAAACCACCGTAGTCTTCCCTCCCTCAATTTTTCGGATACAAGCACCACCCCCAATGACATCCTAATAGCAGAGTTTGGTGTCATATCCCACAGAGTCCTACCACATGCCCATCGAAGCATTCTCATTTCTGCGGCCTCCATCCTCCTTACGTGATCCTTCTTGAATGCCCAACATTTTGATCCATACAATAGCGCTGGTCTTATTACCATTCTATAAAATTTTCCCTTAAGTTTTAGAGGCACCTTATTGTCACACAAAACTCCAGTAGCAGCCCTCCACTTTAGCCATCCTGCCTTAATACGGTGTGTAACATCGTCATCCATGCCCCATCTTTATATATCATAGACCCTAGGTACTTGAAACAATCATTTGATGGGAGAACGTGTCCTTCTATGCATACTTCTACATCTTCATCATTTTGGTTCCCACTGAAGTTAGAACATAAATACTCTGTCTTTTCAATATTGATCCTTAGACCTTTTTCTTCCAAAGTAGTCTTCCAGGTAGCCAGTCTACTATTCAGCTCAGTTTTTGTTTCAGCAACTAGGACAATGTCGTCAGCGAAAAGCATACACCATGGAACCCCGTCTGGTGTCGCACAAAAGATGTCATCCATAATCAAGGTAAAGATGTAAGGGCTAAGAACCGACCCCTGGTGGAGTCCGATTTCCACCGGGAAAGCCTCGGTGTCTCCAGCTGTAGTCCTGAAGAATGTAGTAGATCTACAGTACATATCACGAATCGCCCGGATATAAGCAGTTGGGATCCGTCTCGATTCCAAGGTCTTCCAGATCGTATCGCGGGGAACTCTATCATACGCCTGCTCAAGGTCAATGAACGCTATGTGAAGATCTCTATTTTTTCCCTATATTTCTCCATAAGCCGTCGGAGTAGATGAATTGCCTCTGTAGTAGACCTGCCTGGCATAAATCCAAATTGGTTTTCCAAAACCCTAGTAACATGTCTCAACCTAGCCTCTATCACCCTATCCCATAGCTTCATGGTATGGCTGAGTAGTTTAATACCTCTGTAGTTGCCACAAAGTTGGGGATCTCCTTTATTTTTATAGATTGGTATCACCGTAGACTCTCTCCACTCCTCTGGCATCTTGGTAGTCTCTAATATAATATTAAAGATGTTAGTCAACCACTTAACACCCTCTTATCCTAGGGCCAACCACACAGTGATAGGAATTTGATCTGGACCGACAACTTTGTCCCTCCCCATCTTTCTAAGAGTCATTTTGACTTCCTCAAACCCAATCCTACTTGTAGGGCAGTTATTGGCCGTAGTATGATGGTCGGATGACCCATCAATAGTACTATCTCTACTGGGAGAGACACCGTCATTAAATAAGCCAAAGAAGTAACTACCTCAAACCCTCTTAATATCATGATCTTTCATTAAAAGAACACCATTGTTGTCCTTAATAAACCTAATGCTACCTAGATCCGTTTTCCTATTTTCCCTGGATTTTGCTAGCCTGAAGATGCCGTTTTGTCCTTCCTTGGTGTCTAATCTCTTGTACATTTCCTCATATACCTTATCCTTTTCTTTAGCCACCGTTTTCTTGGCTTCTCGCTTTGCTTCATTGTATCTTTGTTTAGCTCTCAATCTTTCTTCGTCATCATTGCATTGTAGATACTCCTTGAAGCAAGTTTGCTTTGTCTTCACCTTAGTTTGGACTTCTTCATTCCACCACCACGATTCCTTATGCTCTTTGACCTTCCCTGTTGACAACCAAAGGGTATTTTTGCCCACCTCTCTGATGAAATTTGCCATATTTTCCCATAACATATATGTATTATTTGAGTTCGTAGTTCCAAAACATGTATTAGACAAAACCTTACTCCTAAAGTTATCAACTGTCCCTCCATGTAAGTTCTTCCAAAGGATCCTAGGTTTACCAAGTGTAGCCCTCCTATGAGTGCTCCGGCTGTGGCGTACGCGGAACACCAAAACCAACAATATGTGTTGTGATGCACATGCCTCTTCAGGGAACACCTTACAGTCAATGCAAGCCCATCGATCCCGATTTTGAACCAGGATGTAGTCGATTTGGGTACAATGTCCCCCGCTATTAAACGTAATCAAGTTCACATCTCTCTTGTTAAAGAAAGAGTTAGTGACCACCATATCGTGTGCAGTAGCAAATTCAAGCAACATACGCCCCTCCTCGTTCCTACTACCAAAACCAAAACCCCCATGAACACCGTCATACCCGTCGGTTGCGCTACCTATATGGCCATTAAAGTCTCCCCCTATGAAAACTCTTTGGTCCTCCGGAATGCTCCTAAGTACATCATCTAACTGATCCCAGAAGCAATGTTTATCTCCCTCCACTAGGCCAATGTCTGGGGCGTACACTGATAAGACATTCACCACTTCCGCTTTTATAATAACCTTAATCATCATTATCCTATCCGGGTATCTACAGACTTCTACTACATTCTCCTTGAGCCTAGAGGATACCAAAATACCCACCCCATTTCTAGCGTTATCTACTCCTGAATAACACAACTTGTACCCATTACACTTTCTGGCGCGAGCACCTTTCCACCTAGTCTCCTAAATACATGCAAAATCTATTTTCCTATTACTAGGTACGTCGGTCAACTCCAGCAACCTAGCATTTAATGTGCCTACGTACATTCAACGAACAAACTCTAAGTCTAGTGTCCTTGACATCACTCTGTCGAGCCCTCCCCCTATACGCCCTATGGGGTCTAAAAGAAGGACATGACCTCAGGTAATCATCTATAGCCAAAGCTATGAGGAACTATGAGAAAGGAATCCAAAGAAGACAAAAGATGCACCAATAAAACGCTAGAGAATTAAGGGGTACTAAGAAGCCTAGTTGGTCACTTAATAGGATTTTTAGACTAAT